GTGCCATGGTGTCACAGCTCACAGCAACCTCAAACTCTTAGGCTTAGGCGATTCTCTTGCCTCAACCTCCCAAGTAGCTGGGACTACAGGCGCCCGCCACAACATCCAGCTATTTTTAGCTGGCCCGGGCTGGGTTCAAACCCACCACCCTCAGTGTATATGGCTGGTGCCCTCCTGACCAAGCAACTGATGCCACCAGCACATCTGGTTTTGTGTCCTTGAGGGCACCAACTCATTGCCAAAGCACCCCCACTCCCAACCCCACCAGCTTTATAGTTCTCTCATATAATGCTGATCACACTGGGCCCACTGTTCCTACATCTGCCTCCTTTCCAGACTGAGCTCCAAGCTGGCAGGGGTCTCATCTCCATCTGGGTCTCCAGCTCCCACCATAGAGCTGGGTTGAGAGGTGAGCTTAGGGAAGACTTGTTGGGAAATAAATTCTGGGAGTTTCCTCTGCCAAGGATCCACTGTGGTAAGAGATGTTGAATTGAGTTTAGCCCTACCCAAGTTCTCCAATGCCTCCTAACCCAAGGGCCAGCTTGGCCAGCAGGTCTGGATCCACTTGTAGGCATAGTACCTCAAGGTGCTCCATGTCCATCTGGCACCCACTGACCTTTGTACACCTGCCCTGATAACTACCTAACAGGACCCTTCCCCCTTCACCAAATACAGCCTGGGGCAAACATATCTCAGGCTCCAACCTTAGGACACACGAGCAGAATGTGGCTTCCTCCCACCCTACAATGGTCACTTAACTAGCTGGAAAACCTTAAGGAAGCAGAGCCTCACCTGCCCACCCCATTTCCCAGAAGTTGATGGGAAGTGAACATTACACACAAGAACTGGGCTGGCACAGAAGGCCCCTTCTGCAAAGTTGGTGCTTAGACATCTTCTGGCTGCCCTTAACATAGTCAACTTGGCACACAGTATTCCCTCCCCCTGCAATCAAGTCTTGTGGTGACTTGTGGGTTCCAGGGGGTTAAGGAGCTGCTTAAGTGGATTCATTAACTGCCCCACAAGGAAATGGACCTATCTTTTCACAAAGGAAGGGCCTATACAAAGCCAGTTGGAAAAGTGGCCAGACTGGGAATTGAACCCAGAACTATCAACTCCAAAGCTCATGTGTCTTCTGTAGTACTGAGCACCCAGTACTACACAAGTATTTATGGCAGCTACAGGGTATTCTTGGGGTGAGGGGGCTGGGGACACTAGGAAGCTACAAAGCAGCAATGGCTTTGGGAAATCTGGGTCAGACATGTGGTTAACAAGCTCTCACTTCCAAGTGTGTGCATAGGAGGGTCCCTGGAATCTGCTCCTTCGTCTCCTTCCCCCAGGTAAATGCCTCCTTCAAGGCCTGGCCTAACTGCTAATCTTTTTTTTTATTATTATTTGAGATAGAGTCTCACTTTGTTGCCCTTGGTAGAGTGCTTTGGCATCTCATAGCTCACAGCAACCTCAAACTCTTAGGCTCAAGTGATCCTCTTGCCTCAGCTTCCTAAGTAGCTGGGACTACAAGTGCATGCCACAACCCTCAGCTATTTTTTAGAGACGGGGTCTTGTTCTTGCTCAGGCTGTTCTTGAACTTGAGCTCAAGCAATCCACCTACCTTAGTCTCTCAGAGTGCTAGGATTATAGGCATGAGCCTCTGCTCCTGGCTTACAACTGTTAATCTTGAGAACCCTCCCTGATGCCTAAGGAGACTGGTCCTTCTTACCCCTGCCAAAGCCATCTCCTCAGTATCACCAGCATCTAAGTTTTTTCCCACTCACATTTAGTGCTTCAAGAGCAAAACAAGAGGGATGGGTCTGTCACATGTCCCCCACTCTGGCCAGGCGCATAGCTGGCATTTAAGACAGACAGACCTGGGGCAGGTGTCCTAATCCAGCTTCCAACTCACTCCCCAGGCTGGTCCTGCTCAACATCTGGCAGCCAGGCCACGTTGGCCTTCAATGGAAAGATGCCAGCTGGGCCTGCCTATCCAGCACAGAGACAGATGGGACCCATTTGGTATCCAAGGCCTCTCTCTTCAGGCTCCATCCCATTTAGGAAATTGAGAAACCTATTGGATGAGCCCAAAGTCCACTAAGGCCTGGCTGCCTGGAGAGGCTACCTCAAAGCCACCCCTGGGGACTCCTGGGGCTTGGAAGGGTAGGACCCTTCCTCCCACCAGGTCCACCTCCAATCCCTTCCCACTTGCAGCTGGGCCAAGGAAGCAGAACCCCTGGAGCACCAGAAGCAAGAAAGAGGCAGGCGGGCAGCTGGCCAGGTTTGTGCTTGGACTGTATTCACACATAGACACGTGGCAGCTTATACTGGGCAAATGAGTAAGAAAATTTGGCTTTAAATACGGAAAACCAGGGCCCTGAAATCCCACGCTACCCCGACACTGGGACCAGGACGTACATCACAGTCCGGGAAGGGCCACAACTAGGGCCTGGGGCTCAGGCACAGCCTTACCCTACCCTCTTCATCCGCTCACAGATACACACACACACACAATCTCACACACACACAGCAGGGGCAGGTTATTGCTGGGCACGTGTGTCTGTTGTTATGAAGGGAGTCCGGAATGTTTCAGGGTTGGCCAGGGACATCCCCACCCATGGCCTAGGTAGGGGCATTTCTGAAAGAGGCGTCTTCAGGACAGGGCCCAGCATCAAGGATGAGGCGCCTGGGAGCTGGAAGGCAAATGCATACACACCTGGGACAGGGTCTGATAGGCCTCTGGCCAGCCAATCTCTGCTCATACTTTGGCACAGACCTAGGGACCCCACACAGGGCCCCATATCCAGCTCTGACAAGCACTGAGAAGGGACTAAAATGGGCCCCAGAAAGTAGCAGCCTGAGCCCAGGGCGGTAGGGGCAGGCATGAGTCTCACTTGAAGGCCACTGGTGGCCAGCACAGTGCTGGGAGCTCGGGGATCTGGCCCAGTCTTGGCCCATCCAAGCTGGGCCTGAAGTGGCTTGAGTTTGGCAGTGGCTCCTCTGCCAGCTCTTGCTTTCTCAGCCAGGGCCCATTGTCCCAGGGAGCTGAGGCAGGGCTGCCCAGTCTAGGGTAGGAGTTAAGAATGTTGGTTGCTATATACATTCGTACAAATACATAAATACAGAAAGCCCCGAGCTCCATGGAGAAGAGCTGAAGGGACGCACCTTTGTCCCAAGGAAGGCCCAGGCCTTCCTTGCCAAACTCAGCCAGGCCAGAGGCTGAAGGGCAGAGGACACTGGGGACAGCTCCCGCCATTCCCCAGGCCACAACTCAAGTGGACAACAGGGAAGACCACTGTGCAAAACTGTAAACAGCGCCCGGAGTAGCTGCTACCGCCAGCCGCTGGTGGGCACTTCAGACTGGGGGCTAGAGGCGGGTGGGGAGCTCAAGTCGGGTGGGGAGCTCTTCCTCACTGTCACTGCAGTTCCCACAGCAATCCTGGAGGGAAGGGGAAGACATGGAGGGAGAGAGGCAGAGCGGGTGCCATTAGCCACCAGAGACCACACGCAGAGCCAGCCCTGCTGGAGCAGGCCAGAAGCTCCCCAAGGTCATGCTCTGGGAAAGGGCTGCCCATGAGGGGCCTGGAGCAGTAGCTCAGGCCACACATGGGTGGGTGTCAGAGCAGAAGTTGCTGGCAATAGACTGAGGGGGTCTGGGTGGATCCCAGTGTCTGCCAGGGCCAGGCCTTCATCCAGCCCTCTCTCTGAAGCCAGTGGAGGCAGAGCATGGGGTAAGACTAAGCAAGGCTGGTAGCTCAAAGGGGCCAGGGTGCATGAAACCGAAGCAGTGGGTGGGGGTAGGGGGGACGGGCACCAGACTTCTTTCTCCCACATCTTGCCTCTGCCATGGAAGGGCTGCCTGTGGCTCCCCGAGGCCAACCCACGGGGAGCCCACACTGCTCACCTCTGGAAAGAGAAAAGAGGCCATGAGCCCAGCCAGGGGTGGGGGACAGGTGGAATGAGGCCAGAGACCCTGGGCACCGCGGGCAGGACTGGAGGATATGCATGCGGGCACCAGCTCTGCCTCCCACCCACTGTCCCCGGAACCAGCTGGAGGCCCAGGCAGCCTACCACTGGTGCTCACCTGGCGGCTGAAGAGTCTTTGCAGCAGCCCCTTCTTGGGTGGTGCAGGCGGCTGGCCCTTCCAGTCCAGGTCTGGGGGAACTGAACCATCCAGCCCAAAGACATTCAGCTCCTGGAAGCACTCTGTCTCTACCATCTGCCAGAGAATAGGCGGCTATGAAGGCTGTCCCAAGGGCTGTCCCCTGGAGCCCACCCCACCATTAGGGTATGCCCCTACCTCATTCTGCCAAGGGATGGGCACACTGCCTGTAGCAAACTTCTGGTAGAAGTCCTGGTCGGCAGGCTCTAACTCTACACCTTTGACTGTGGAGAACTGTTCAATGTCCAGAACATCCTTGCAATAAATAGCCTGGGGCTGCAGGGAGGGCAGCACAGACACACACACACACACACAGAGCAAACCTGAGTCTTATTCTGGCCTTGGCCTGGTGCTGTCTTGATACCCAGTGACTCTCTAGTTTAGAGTCAAAAACTAGGAGTTAGGTGCTCTTCCTAAGCACAGCAGCCCCTTCCCTCTGAAGTCCAGTTTCCCCCTCTGTAAACTGGGACTGTTATCCCTCACTGCTCAGTGACTAAATGAGGCTGTGTAAAGGCCGATACTGGGCTGTCCCTCCCTCACATGCACAGCTTCTGGGTGTGCAGCTAGAGCACAAAGAGTAGGCCAAGTCTCAGGTGGCCCTCAGCAGGGCACTGCCATATAGGGACTAGAGCTGATTGGGTCTCTGCCCTGAGATATCTGGTCTTACTCTGTCTCCTCTCCCAATCAAACAATTGGCAGTTTCCTACCATTCAACCCCCCAGACCCCTATGAGAGCCCACCTCAGCTCCAGGAGGCCACTTTCTTTTTCCTTTTGACATTGTTTCCCAAATCCCTCTACTAAGGATGTCAAAGTATCATTGCCATGGGCCAGGCACTGTGGTTCGTGCCTGTAATTCCAGAATTTGGGGAGGCCGAGGTTGAAGGATAGCCTGAGCCCAGGAGTTGGACATTTCAGTGAGCTATAATGACGCCACTACACTGTAGTCATGAGTGATAGAGCGAGACCCTGTCCCTAAAAAAAAATTTTTTTTAAATATCATCATCATGTAAAATGGTGCAGCCTCTTTGGTAAACAGTCTGGTAGTTCCCCAAAAGGTTAACATAGTTACCGTATGACCTAGTAATTCTACTCCTAGGTACATACTGAAAGAAATGATATCTCTCTATACAAAAACTTGTACATAAATGTTCATAGCAACATTATTTATAATAGCCACAACCCTAATGTCTATCAAGTTATGAATAAATTAGCAAAATGTATTATCATCCATACAATGGAATATTCTTTTTTTTTTTTT